CACATTACTTGTGACATCTTTTGGTAAGGGAAATATTTCATTACTTTTTATATCTGGTTACCTTTTCTCTAATACACGCAACCAAGATTTTTTCCCAAGTTTAATAAAATCTCTGAGAAAAAAAGAAAAGAAAAATCCTAAGAGATGAGCAGATGCTTTGCTATTAATAGACAATGTTTTTAAGCTGTTTTCAGCTTCCAGTTTTTCTCCTCTTTCCATCTCTCACACAGCACAGTACTAGATATGTGGGGTTTTTTGGGTTTTTTATGCTATGTCCCTTCAGAATGTAGGTGGTCATAGATATCAATGAATTACATGACTCAATTAGTTGTGAATTCTCATAACTTCTTGTGGAAATATAGTGCTTTCTCCATTGTTTTGAATTCAGATTAACCCTTCTCTTAGTCTCGCTGCCACTCAAAGCTCAGTTTATATTACTATTTAAAACATAGCTATCAGAAAAAGAGATAGATTCATGCCTTTCCCAATGGTATTTGTAGAAGGTGAACACAACCGACTAGGTGGGAGTTTGAATTCAGCTCAGAGATTCCACTTTCCACACTATTAAGCTTGTGCTACCTACATGACTATATATTTACTGAGTCATGAATGGAAGTCAACCTATGTTACATGGTAGGCCCCAAATTTTAACATTTTCATTTTTCTCTTTCAGACGTTTTAAGAGCATTAACATGTCAGCTTCCAATCTGGTATAATAAATGAAAAATGATGCTATGCACCAAGCACTGACCATCAAACAAAATTATTCTTGAAAGTGACCAGGTGAATAGGAAATAAAACAGGTGGCTCTGCACAGGCCTCATGGCAGTAATTGTGTCAATGCACACCAATTTCATGTTGTTTGTGAATGTTCCTGTGAGCTGTGAGAAGCAGAGGTTGTCATTACTACCCTATTTCTTCAGTCGGGCAATGCCAATGTGCACACACCTGCACATACCGGTGTGTGTGTGTGTGCGCTGGTAATAGTGCTCAGTCATTGGATCAAAGGGCTGGCTCTATGTATTCTAGCAGGAATCAGCTGTTCATAAACCAAGAGTAGCTGACTGAGCATTTTCATGATCATTCTTATTCCCCAATTCTTTCTAGCTCTCCTGTTTTGAATATCCTAGACTAAATTTGGGGGTGTCATCAAGGGGAAAACCAATCGGCAACACTGTAATGCAAGAGACTCATTAAAGGGTACTATTGTAGACCTGAAGGCCAGCATGAATGAGAATCATTTGATCCAGGCATGCAGTTGCTTTCAAGATCATATTGAGGCTGGGTGCAGCAGTTTCATTGGATTCTTTTATTCCAAGTTGAATATGTATAAAAGCTCATTTTGAAAATGTACTGATTTATTCTATTGAATATCTTTTTCTTTCCCTTTTTTACATCTATACTATTACCTTGTGCGTGTGTGTGTCTTTTTGATTGAACACCATAGAAATCTCTTTGAAGATTTTAAAATCATTATTTTTTCCCCCACAAGATGTATTGGCCAATATTATTTCTCAAAGTATTTTTAACCACTTTGGGCATCTTCAGTTGTTTTCAGTGGAGGTGGGGTGCATCTTATTTTGGTAGTTTTAATCTAATATTTCAAATTTTAATTTTTTATCAAATTACATGTTGTGACATCATGTTCAAAATATAATGCCAAAACTATCAAAATGTCAGAGAAAGCAAACACCTACCCCTTAATGAAAACAATTTGGCTATCTGAAGATGGCCAAAGTGGATTAAAATACTTGGGGAACAATATATAAGTAAAAAAGAAAAAAAAATTTAAAAGAAATTTCTGTGGTCTTCAATCAAATATGCAAAGAAAGAATTTGCTGTCCGAATACACTAATTAGTTTATTATATATATATATATATATATATATATATATATATATATATATATATATATATAGGAAAGTAAATTTTGTTATCGTATGTCTTGTCTTGAACATTATGCTTTGAAGTTTGACTTATTTTTTGTTTTTCCTAAGTTTGTAGGTAGAAGGAATAATGTCAGTGATTATTTGTGTGACAATTGAGCTGTCAAGATTTTCTGTCTGGTGACTATGTGAGGCCATAATGATACACTGATGAAGTAAGGGAGTTGAAGAGGGTTGGCCAATGGTTATTTTGTTTGTATTATACTTCTAGTCTTCATCCAGCTTCACAGACACTGATGACGGCTCTTACAGGCAGGTGTAGGATATTGTGTTGGGTAGGATTGGCTTACAGAGAGAGATGAACTAGATAAGACCAGGGTAGCAGTATTATTGTCTTAACTACTTGGGTACATACCTTGAACATATGTAGACATCATTAGCAACAATTGCACACAAAACAAAACACAGACAGATATGTTTGGGAAGAAACACCTAAGGCAATGTGGGGCTTAAATCTTTTCCTCTTTTATTTAGTCAATTTCAATTCACATATAATCATCACATGCTTCTGTCTACTTTTGTCTTGTGTGCTGTGATAGTTAAGCTGATGAATAGCTAGCAGTCATCACCTTTTTGATCAGCATGTTTTCTTTTTCTTTTCTTTTTCTTTTTTTTTTTTTTTTTTTTTTTTCCACAAAGTAAAAAACAAAGCATCACCTTGACAGATTTCTTATTCATTTTCTTTATTTTGTTAGTTTGTTAATTTTAGCTGTTTCAACCAGAGAATAAAACATTTCATTTTCATATTAAATCAAGTCTACACTCGGCATGTTTCTTATTCTTGAGCTGTATTTTAGAATCCAATGGAAATGTTAATGTTTGTTGACTTCAGAACTAAAAATAATGATTAAAATGGAAGCCATCATTGTGGACCAAATATAACTAATAATCAACAATGTTATTGAAGATGGTGATTTTATAGTTGTGATTATAGGCTAGAATTATAAATATGATCCTAGTATTAGTGTACTCATTGATAAGTTTAAAACTTTGCTGTATTTGTGGAGGAAGGTGGCTCAAAGTTAGGATAGAGCATTTGTAGACATAAACAGTATGTATATAGAAATTAACACTGCATGAAATAAATCAGATAATTTATTTTATACTTCATAAACAGTTTTTCCCCCAGAAGTAAATGGTCACTGTTCAAAATACTTTTGACTGAACAAATGAAATGGTAGAATTTATCCACCTACAATCAAACATAGATTTTTAACCTTTGTTTTTTGTTTTTTTTCCTTTCACTTACACACACAGTAATAATTTGTAGTAAAATATATTTTAAATCTATTATATATATATATATATATATATATATATATTGTGTGTGTGTATGATGGATAAATTGTCTAAATTACGCAAAAATGAAAATAACACTGACATCTCATTTTAACAGATATATTTATTAAAATTACACAAAACAAAAATATCTTGAAATACTAAAGAGTAAATTTATTCAATAAAATCACCATTGGTTTCAACCACGGACTTCAGGTGACTTCAGAATCTCCTGCAACCGTTCTGGATGGTCTCCTTGTTGGCGAATGCTGCCATAATCCTTGCTTTCAGTCCATCTTTGGTGTTATATGGAGTTTTGTTGGTCTATTGCTCAACTGTACCCCCCCACACATAATAATCAGTGGAGTTGCAGTCTAGGAAGTTAGGTGGCCAGATGTAATTACTGTTCTGGTTGCATAAATTATCTGACATCCATGACTGGGTTCTCTTGCTTGTGTAGCATGATGCAGTCCTGTTGCCAGGTATAGGGTCTTCCAGCAGCCACCCTCTTGACCCAGTGCAGCACTACCTCCTCAAGGCACTTGATGTAGGCTGCCATGTTGAGTCTGAGGCCCTCACCAACAAATTCAGGAGTTCTTTTCTTATCAGAATGATCAGAATGAATTTTCTGAGCTGACATACCTTTGTAACCACCATTAGACTCCTCCAACTGTTTCCGAATACTCTGCACTGTCCTCAGGTTGACACCCAAACACTCTGAAATGTCCGTATTGAAGTTTCCAGTGTAAACGCCAAGCAGAAAAGCATACAGTTTCCAAATTTCTGGCAGAGTGAATTGAGTTACTCACAGACGGTGCCCAACTGATCCTATTATACTGTGCAGTTGACAATATGAAAAACAAACATGCATGCACACAATTAAAAGTATAAAATGGCGACAATTTACCCATTGCACCCTCCCTCTGTGTGTGTGTGTGTGTGTATATATATATATATATATATATATATATATATACGCACGCACACACACACGCACGCACACACACACACACACATACTGTTTAACAAATCAATAAGGAGATTAAGGATCAATTTCTTTCAAAGTTTTTGGAAACTGTATAAGTTCAGAAATTTGGTATAAAAAGAAGAGTGTGGGAACAGAACTTTGTATATGCTACATTTTATTGAGACAAAAATAGCCAATGTTTTTCTCCTTGGAGGGTTTTTTTTTTTTTTTTTTTTTTTTTTCATTGAGCTCTATGAAATTGTAATTCTGAAATGATAAGGATGTGTAATATTTTGAAAAGTTAGAAGATACCTGCTGCAAAAAGCAAAAAAATATTTTAACAATGCAATATACAATCAAAAGATGATATTTATGAACTAAATGAAATTTTGAAATTTAAAATATAGCAATTTTTAAGTTTGTTAACCTTAGGATATTTAAACATTATATTTTCTTTCTTTGTATATTCTACAATAATCAGCAGTTTTCAAAAATGTCTTATGCAATCCAAAAACTATTTCTGGAAACTTTTTTTAAGGTTATTCACTTTTTCTTTGTTTATTTATTGGTATCCTTTCTCATTTTCAATTTTAATCTAAAACCCTAACTTGGTATATTATATTTAGGCTATCTATAAAAAGATTTAATTGAAAGCCTTTAGACCTCTTTGAATATTATCATTTCAATTTATATAATGTTAAAACAGAATGTTTTTGTTTGTTGTTTCATTCTAATGACTTTTTTTTTTTTTTTTTTTACTCATTTTTCTTTTCCTCTTTTTTTTTTTTTTTTTTTTTTTTTCATTTCAGATTGTTCGAAAACCAAAGTCCGTGGCCACAAATGTAACTACAGAGTGAAGATGACCATGCGGTTAGGGCATGTAAACTCTTGGTTTGTGGAGGTAACCGGTGACCACAGTGGAGCTTATTTCCGCTATGAGGACATGCTTTTGCAAAAGGGTGCCCCGCGCACTAGTCAGAAAAAAATGCGGGCCACCCTGACTGATCCATCGTCTTTCTCTCTTCTTAATCACCTCACACCATCTCAGGAACAGAACTATTTTTTAATGAGTACCCCCATAAAGTCAGAACCACCTGACACCACAGTGGAAGAGCTGCCTAGTCCTGTATTCCATGCCAATGCCATGGACTTCCATAGCAGCACCCTCGATGAGAAAATTAGTCCCCAACAGGCTGCAATGTCCTATTGTATGACAAGCAATACTCAGGTAGTACCAGATGAGCCAAGTGTGGCAGTTACACAATCAAATTATACTGCTGTAATGGAAGAGATGTGGAATAGCGCAAACATTGACTCTAACAAGAATGATGAAGAGAAGGTATTGTTTCTCTACCATCTGCATGTCAATAGCTTCTAGGGCAATGTCCTACCTTTTTAGATTCAGCCAACCTTAGAAACTGTCAACTGATAGACAACTGTTGTCCTATTTTACTCTGTATATATTTATATCTATTCTTCTCTGTCATTCTGACTCCAAATATTTTTTTCTAATGGCTTTCTTTTTTGTCTTTATTGTACTCTCTGCATGACTAATTGTCTAACAAAACTTTTGCGTGTGTGTGATTACTTTTAAGTATGTGGTTATTTGGATATGTCACTACACATTTTATGAAAGATGTGTAAGAGACAAAATTGCAAGACTTTTTTTTTTTCTTTTCAAAATCAAGAGCATGTGCATATCTTTTCATTGTATCTCACATGTTATATGCAAGGAACTGGTTAGGAGAAATTATGTACATTTGGTTTGATATTTATGAGATGAAGCAGCAGTAATTTATTGATGAGTTTTTTGTTTTTTTTTTGTTTTTTTGTTTTTATGTTTAAGTATCCATATAATTCTATTGCATATTCTCTTTGTCATTTGCAAAAAACTTTATATTATCAGAGTTTGATATGGTTTGATATTTAGTAAATGAGGCCCAATTTGAATAAGTGATCAATTCAAATTTCTATCACTTTGCACATAATCGAAGTGGACAGTTTTATTTATTGACTACTTAGATTTTTTTGCTTATCAGATGAAATGTAATTTACACTTCCGTGTTTATTCAAATTAATATTTATATTTGAGATACCGAAAGTGGTAATACAGTTGGTAATTGCTGACTATAAAACTGATCCCCATTTTTGTATTCTTTCAAAGATATAAATTAACCAGCATCTGTCTATTGATTAATAAGATATCACCTACCCCTATCCCTCAATTTATCTTCATTTTGGTCTGTCTCTGTTGGCATGTTCTCTTCTTATATTCACTCCACATAATTTTGGTTTGCAACTACATTTTCTTATTTATAGGCTTTAAAAAATGACTTTATGTAGTTGATAATTTTAACAGAATATCTAAAGATATAAGATGAAGCTATTTATTTACTAAATATATAAAATTGAACTCCTTTTTGTCAGGGGAAGCTTTATTTGTTTATTTTGTCATATTGGATACTTTTTCGTATGTGTATATATATATATATATATATATATATATATATATATATATATATATATATATATATATATTATATATATATATAGCAGAATATTTTGCAAATGTTCCAAAGTGATGTCTGATTTTAATGTGAAAATTGATTTTTGTATATGCAAAGTTTGTCAGGTTTTTCTTTTTTTGTTTTGCTTATTCTTTAAAATGGGAAGATATAGTTATTAATAATATCTAAAATGAAAAAAAAAAAAAAAGCAACTATCTACTGTAGATGTAAACTTTGCACCAAATTTTGTCTTTGGTTTGTTAATTTATATTTTTCTAGATATAAATGCTAATCTCAGTAATTAAGTCTTATAATGTTCAATTACTCCCAGTATGGTTACAATCTTGGACTCTGGTTTTGCTTTTTCTCAAAACATTATCAAAGATCATATTTTAATTGTGCTTGCTTCAGTCTTCTCAAAATAATGGGGTAACAGTTCAAGCTTTATATATATGTAAAGTTTAACTATTACATGTCGATTAGAATTTGTGCATCAAACTGTTTTCATAAAACAATTTCCACATCAGGAATAAACATTTTTCAAATTATTACCTAAAATTTATGCACACATAAAATATGAGCACATATATTAGTTACCATGATAATCTGTGAAATTGTTTTGCAGACCAGTTTGTAGTTACTTTAGTACTTTTCAGGGTGTCCCTTTACTATTTTCTTATATCAGATAAAACTTAGTAGATAACTACATACACAAAATAGAAAAGTAACTGCAAACAAGCTTGTAGCTAATTCATATTGAGTTAAAGAATGTCATTGATTTTAATATTTCTGTTAACAAAAACTCTCATATTGGATAAAAAAAATTTCTTTTAGGAATGTTTTTCAAAATGCCTTTGCTTTTATAAAATTATCTAATAACAAAGGTATGAATCTGTAGTTACAGAGTTTAATGCATATGCTTAGATATACTATAAACTTGTGTTGCTATTGAGAAACAAAAATTGTAAGGTCTAATGTAACAAGATAATAAAAAATCTTTTTAGATTTAACGATTTGTAAAACTTAGAAAATGAAATTAGAAAAACGGAACAAAATAACTAGTTTCTAACTTTTCAATTTTGACTGTTGGTTTGCTACTGATATCGGAAACTGTAGTGACAAGGTAAAGAGGAAGGAGTGTTGCTTAAGAGATTATAAATACTTGAGCTTTTGCAATGTTGGTGCTCTGTGTGCGTGCGTGTGTGTAATGGAGTCTATTTTTATTGTTCTGCTGCCTGCTGTAGATTGGCATTTACTCGCTGAAAGCTAGAAACTGCTTACCAAAAACACACATTAAGACAGGCAAGCAGAAGAAGATAGACAATGATAGATTGACGGCCAGCCAGGGTAAGCTGAGGTAGCAAACGAATGAGTGGACTGTTTGTGTGGGCAGTCACTTCCTGTTTGCTTTAGAAATTGTGCTTTTGTGCCTTACTTGACCATTACCAGCTGGGAATAGAATGCAACCACACATGTGCACGCACACACACCATCAGTCTGATTGTTCTTCTCTCTCTCTCTCTCTCCATTCTTCAAATTCACTGAAAGGTATTATAATCCTTGACCTCTTCTTCTTGTCCTTCTTAACTTTTGCTATTCCTTTCTTTTCTTCTATCTCCATTCAGCCACCCCTTTATTTCTCATATTTGTCTGATTCTTACTGCCTCTTTCATTTTTGTGCTCCCTCTCTACATCAATATTTTCCCTTATCTCTCAACATGTCTCCTCCTCCTCAGAGTCAATGAGGGAATCCATCAATTTTTTCTTTTTATAAAATTTTGAAAATTTTAACCAATATCTATATTTCTTGATCTGAAAGTACTTGCATTACTGTGGAAAGCTTTAACATTCAAACAAATGTTTTTAAATTTAACCTTCAACAAACCCACTTACATGATTCACTGCATTAGGTTTATTTCAGGCCTGCAACATATGGCCATTACATCTACTGAAGAGATCTTTCACTTTAGGCTTTATCTTCTAGAATCTTATTTTTATTTATTTATTTTTTTTTTTTTTTTTTTTTTGTTGAACATTTTATTTCATATTACTATATTTCAGTCTGTCTTAACTCTCACCTACTGACATTCATAAAGACATACATGTTATCTGATGAGCATAAAGTAATATTTCACATGTGATAAGCACAAACATTGATGTGTATGTAAGCATTTTAGTTTATTTACTTATGCAAGGCAGATACTCATATTTCAGTATATTATGTCACTAAATACACTGATTACAAGGTCCAGTCAAAAAGTAATACCTGTTAATCCTTATTTACAACATATTTTATAACAGTCCTAGCATACCAAAATGAGCAGAAAAGTCTCACAATCCCAAATCTAGTCAGCAATATGGTCTCCCTCCTTCTGAATATTGATATACTGCTTTTGAGTGAGATCATGTATACCAGTCTCAATGATTTTTGACTGCTTTCTTAGCACTGTTTGAGTTGTCGTTTTCACCTTCTCCTCATTAGAGAACTGCTGCCCACTGAGTGCTATCGTATTCAGCTCCAAAAGCTCTTAGGGAGCAACCACTCTGTGTTCTTTGATGGAGTCGGCATTCAGGGAACCCACTATGTACAGACCTCTGACTAGCCAAGAGGCTGTCTTAAACTGTTCACATAAAGGCTTTGACAGTTTTGCAATAGTGAGTCTTCTGTTAGTTATAAGAATATTGGCCTGTTTAGTCTAATATTCATTCACAGTAGCAGCTAGCATGCCAATGTGGGACCCATCACAAAGATTAGTTTCTTGAAATTCTGACAAATACTTTTGAATTTGAATTAAAACGAGCATTACATATTTACCAACCCCCATAAAATGTGATGAACGCTCCAAACAAAATTTGATACTGCTGTCTGAATATTTGGATATTTCTCACTTTTTCCAGTTTCAAATAAAAAAAAAAAAAAATTTACATTTTCAGTATTAAGAATATAAAATTTCATTAATCTTCATTTGAAAATAGTCCTGGCAATTTATATTTTCTAGCATGTTTCATGCTGGAAAATATAAACTTTTCAGATAATTCACATATGAATTATAAATACACAGAATTTTTTCTTCTTTTTAATAAGCTGTTTAGTATTCCTGAAATTACTCAATTTACAAAAGTCTAACAAGGTATAAAGGTTTGAAATCATTTCACACATTTCAGTAAGACATCAATTAGACATGTATGTTAATCCTTAGAGGTCAACTCATGAGAATTTTCAGCTTCAGTTAATTTCAGTAGTTTTGCTAACCCAAATTAGCAGTTTTATCCTTAATACCAAAAAAAAAAATAAAGTTTCAACTGTAAATATTCAATGGTGGATACCTCCTTGTGGTGTAATGGTGAGCAAGGTGGACCTACCAATACTTAGTTGTGAGTTTACTGAGTGCTCCTTACTGATGGCCTTGTGTCAGACTAAGCTTCGCAAATAACACATGTAAATATTTAGCTTAATTTTAATGACTTTGATTATGATTTTTTTCTATAGCATAACTTTGGCACCAATTCCATTTTTCCATCTACATCATGAAATTTAATTTCTTCAGTTTTAGTAAAACCATTTCAATTCTTTCAGTGATTGTTTTAAAATGGTAGTTACTATATTTGCATCTGAATTTAGTTGAGTTTAGATTTGCAGCAGTCAAAACTTTCCAATTAAAGTTCATGGGGATGTGAACATAAATACATTTCATTTTATTGTCTAAGAACCAATAAATGGATTGTTACTTGAATATGAGTGAACATCAAAGAAAAACACTGGGATAGACTCACTTATAAAAGTTTAAATATAGCGATAATTAGACATGTTATCAGTCAGTAAAACTTGTTA